TTTGTATTTTTCTGATAGAATACTTACAATACTTAAAATTCTAGTTTTCAGTTCTTCATTGAAGCACAGCTTCATTAAAAGTAATGAATTTCACCCGATGTCGGATAAAAGTCAATTTGAGCGTCAGGTAAAGTTCATTTTTGAAAATTGAATTTTACCCGACCTGAAAATCGTCGGATAAAATTCATTTTGCGTGTCGGGTAAAATTGATTTCCAATATGAATTTCGCCCGACGTCGGAAAAAAGTCAATTTGAGCGTCGGGTGAAATACATTTTTGAAAAATGAATTTCACCCGACGTAAGAATCGTCGGATACGTAGGTTGCTCCATAATTTTTTTTAAAATGATACTTATAGTGTTGCCCGATGTAAACCATTGTCATATTCGTAAAGTTTGATGTTTTGGTATGTATTCGTGCCCTGAACCTTTTGTCGTACGAACGCTATTTGTATTGTTTACAGTGACTGGTAAACTGCGACTCAACAAAAAAATGAATTTTACACGTGAAGATTTTCGTAAAATGATTTACTACGATTTTCGAAGTAAATTATCTCAACAACAGTGTTTCGATCGACTTCATTTGGCCTTTGGCAATGAAGCACCAACCCTTCAGACAATTTATAACTGGTACCGAGAATTCCGTTGCGGTCGTAGTTCGCTCAAAGACGAGTTTCATACAGGTCGTCCAAAATCGGCTGTTGTGCCACAAAACATCGATGCTGTCAGAAAACTGATTATGGAAGATCGTCATGTGACCTACCGTGAGATTGAGGCATCTTTGGGCATTTCATCCCACAGCATACATACAATTTTGCATGAACATTTAGCCGTAAAAAAGATTTGTTCTCGTTGGATCCCACATAAATTGACCGACGAACAAAAAATGGCTCGTGTGAGTTGGTGTAAAGAAATGCTCAAGAAATTCAATCGTGGTGCTTCAAAAGACGTTAATAAAATCGTCACTGGTGACGAATCGTGGATATATGCCTATGAGCCCGAAACGAAACAGCAGTCGACTGTATGGGTCTTCCAAAATGAAGATAACCCAACGAAAGTTGTTCGAGCAAGAAGCACTTCGAAGCGAATGGTCGCCTGTTTTTTCGGGAGAAGTGGTCATGTGGCAACCGTTCCACTAGAGGATCGTAAGACCGTCAATTCTGATTGGTATACCACCATTTGTTTGCCCGAAGTGTTTGGTGAAATAAGAAAAAACAACCACCGTCGCAAAATAATTCTTCATCACGATAATGCGAGCTCTCACACATCTTTTCAAACTACTCGATTTTTGACCGGTCAAAACATCGAACTGATGGGTCATCCACCGTACAGTCCTGACCTGGCACCCAATGACTTTTTTTTGTTCCCAAGCGTGAAGAAAAAACTACGTGGTCAACGATTTTCGACACCAGAAGAAGCAGTTGAAGCGTTCAAAACACACGTTTTGGAGATATCAGTTTCGGAGTGGCACGAATGCTATGACAAATGGTTTCATCGAATGCAAAAGTGTATCGATCATCTCGGGGAATATTTTGAAAAACAATAAAACCATTTTCGACAAAAAACAACTGTGTTATATATGTTTTTAAAAAAAATTATGGAGCAACCCTCGTAGAAGTCAATTTATTAGTCGGGTGAAATTCATTTTCAAAAATGAATTTCACCCGACCTGAAAATCGTCGGATAAAATTCATTTTGCGTGTCGGATAAAATTCATTTTCAATATGGATTTCACCCGACGTCGGATAAATGTCAATTTTTTGAAAAATGAATTTTACCCGACTGTTTTTTAACATCGGATAAAGTTCATATTGTGAAAATGAATTTTATCCGACGTCGGGTAAAATTCAGTTTTTGCGTCGGGTAAAATTCATTTTCACAATATGAACTTTACCCGATGTAAGAATCTTCGGGTGAAATTCAATTTGGGCGTCGGGTCAAATTCATTTTGAAAAGTGAACTTTACCCGACGTCGGGTAAAATTCAATTTAAGTGTCGGGTAAAATAGAATCGGGTATTATTCAGGGAGCCTTATATGTAAACGTCAGTGCTCACAGAAAAAAATCCGGATATTTTGAACCCAGAAATCGGTTTAAATCACAGCGGAATGATTTCTGGGTTTAAATCAACCGAAAAATCGGATAAGACTTAAATTTGAGACTTTCAATGAGACTTGAATCTGTATTTCAACGTTTAACGATCATCTTACACATTTCTTTCACAGTTTATTTACATCTGAAAAAATCTTCAAATCGATTTTTCTCGCTTTTCCGATGGGAAATCGAGGAAAATAACGAAAATTCGGTACCTCCATCAATTGTAAAAATAACTAATAATTGAATGATGTCTCTATTGTTTTTGATAAGGTGGAAAATCCAAAATTATTGAAGTTATTTGTTGAAAAATCGTCGAAAACAGTAAAAAAATCCGGGCGAAATCCGAAGTTTTTCCGCCATATCCGGGCATCCGGGCCGAGCGATTTTTCGTCTGGGCTTGGCCTCGAATATCCGCGCGAAACCGGATTTATCCGGGCGATCTGGAAGGCTTATCCTGTCGTCATATTCTCATATTCAATAAAAGCCTTGTTCTTCCGAATGTATTTTTTATTATAAATTTAATTCATAATGAACGATTTTATTTTGCTTCAACAACAATTTTTGTTTTCATTTTTAAATTTCATGAAATATTTGAATCTTATATGATACGTTTTTGGTTACGATTGAAAAATGTAGTAATATAATGATAACATTACGAAGAATAAAGTCGTATGTGTCACTAAATTAATTCAATATAAATTATCCCAGCAAATTCTTGTTTTTTTTTGTTTATCTTAAAACTATTCTATAAAATGGGAGTGGTTTTGTTTTTTTACTGGAAAAATTCCAAAGAAGAAACAATTTCTCTTATTTTGTTTAAAAGGTAACGATCGAATCAATTTGTTTTGTAATATCCTGTACACCATCGATGTTGTCATATTTTTTGCTCAATGCAACAATGCGGGTACCGCCAACATTTGATACTTCAATGTAACCGGATTTTTCCAACATTTTCATACAATTTCGCATTGTATCAGTTGAGATGCTTTCACCTAGTATAGAAAATATGAATACATTATAATGAGAAGTTGTTTATGACATGAAATTCCATTGAAACATTTATTTTATAGTACGTACTGTATTTGCAGTTGCCATTTTCAACCTGTTTCGTAATTTCCGCAACACACACTTTGATAAATTCATTTTCTGTCAATCCATAATCTCGAAGACTATCCAATGAACGAATGACGGCCATATATGTATGTGAGTATGGAGCTAGAACTGATGACAAAACTACCCGTTTTCCATGTCCTCCCTCTGGTAAAGCAATAGTAATTTCATCGGATGTAGGAATATCATAACCATCTTCACTGCTTTCGTCGAAATGTGCATAGTATCTTCGAGCTTTCATGTCTTCCATAGAATTTGCTTCCTATATTGAAAAAAGTAATATTAATTTAAAAGAAAAAAAAAATCAAATAAAAAATTACCGATGGAATGGAAAGTAAGTATTGCTCTTTCAAACGCTCAAGTGAATCATCGAGTAGATTGTCCAGTTTTTGGCAGGGTTTATTGAATAAGAACTCATATCGTAGCATATCACAGTACTTTTTGCATAATTCCATTAATTCACTTCTTTTAATTTGGTATCCCTGTTCAAGTGAATCAAATTTGTTTGTTTTATCTTCTTCTCTTAACCAAGCAATTGCGATTAAAGGTTCAACTTACTGCTGAATTACTGTTACATGAATGCGATTCGGTCATTTTAAGTATTGTGCACATTACAACTGCATCAAGTACAAAATGTGTGGCCAAACTGTTTGAATAGTATGAGAGTTCAATGAAACTACGAATATTTGCAACTGGTGTAATGAATGTTTTTCCATCTTTTTCTTCCATTGTAATCAAATCTAAAAACATAATTAAAAGGTAAGAAAATTGTTGGTGAAAATGAAAGTAATTAATTCGCTATATTCATCATCACATACTTGGACCTAGTAGATCAACTGCGTATTTGATTACACTATGTGAATCCCCAGTAAAACTTATTGTTCGTACACCATGCAATGTTTTTCTAAGGTCATCAAGTGCATCTGCCAAAACATCGATTGTATCACCATTTCGAAATCTATAAAAAAGTTTAAAAATCACATACTCGATAAGTGATTTTTTGTACAAGGTCAGTAGCAACAGTGATACTAATCAAAGGCCTTGACTTTAACAGACCTGGTTAATAATAAAAATGCGACCGCGTTCGTTGTCATGCATGCTGTTGCTGTAGCACAATCGTAAACCACATGACGAGCAATGCTATCGACTAATGCACGATGTTCTTCGTTAACCACATCGGTACCGTACAGAGATGATGTTGATGGTTGATGTTTTAGCCGTCTTGCGCTAATCAAACGTTTCAATATATGTGGTGTTGTTTCGATTGAATTTAGTTCGGGTAAATTTTCATATGCTTTGATTAAATTCTTCAGCGAAAATGGTTCATTGAAATCGATTCGCATTTGTCCGTATTTTGAATTTAAAATGGCCCAAATTGCTGATACAGCTGATGTAAATTTTTCAGGTTTTTTTTTCTCGCCCAATTGTTCGTATACAAAATTACCTAGGGTTGATCAGAAGAAAAGAATGAAAAAATGGAAATTAATCAATAAGTAATGGAATAGAATGGAAAATGGACATTAAAAAAGAACGTATATAGTTAAAGCGCAAAATTACCATCACAAAGACGTTCATAGTTAACGGAGACGGGTACTAAAAAGGCATCATCTATCGTTCCACTATTCAATGCATCGATAATCACTAATATTGAAGAAAACATGACATAAATTTATCTGTACTTTCATGTAAAACTTTCAAATTATTTCTTTTAACTAGCACAAAGTCTTTTTTTCTTAAATATGGAATATTCGATTTGAATCGCATCATTACCTGATAAAACACCACTCTTTGGCATGCATGGTTTGCCAGTACGTGTCCGGCCACCTTCGATAAAGAATTCAACATTGTGGTGTGCAGCCAAAGCATGTTGCATGTATGTGTGTAGAACAGCGCGATAAACAATGTCCTTTTTGCCAGCGACCGGGTCAATTTTGCGTTTAATGAAAAATGCACCAAGCCCTCGTAACAAAGCACTAGACATGGAAACGATGTTATATTATATATTTTTTTCGTGATAAAGCTACTACTTAGCTGTGAGAAGATTAGAGCTATAAAAGGGCTACTTTTTAACTGTGAGAATATTAGAGCGAAAATTGAGATAACAAAAAGTTAACGTTATCAATTAAATGTAACAAACGTATACTGAGCAAAAATTGAATGGGGAAAACGATCATTCAAAATTCATTTTTACGTAAATAATGAATAAAAATAAAAAAAAGCTTCTTCGCCTGAACAAAAGATATACCATTACCACTAATAATTATACACATAGAATGTTTTACCACAACTGAATATCGACTAAAAAGTTTAATCTTGCTCAAAATACATCCCACAATATAACCATTGTTTGATTGAAAATGATAAACATAGAATATATAATTTTTTTTAGTAAAATAATAAAATCAACTTTTTAAAAATAAATAAAATACCCACCCGAAGAATGGTATGCGTAAATTATCACCGGCAGCGACAATGGGAGCACGAATTTCGTTGTTGTACAAAATAAAACTGACCAAAATATAATCCAAATGGCTACGATGTAATGGTAAGAAGATCAATGGAACATTGGGTGAGGCGGCTGCGGTTTTTTTCAGCATATCAATGTGTGCTGGATGTGCAATAACGCCTGACATAAATGACGGCAGCAATTTGAATATGACGAGTGATGCAAAGCGTAATAAGCGATCGGATATTTTTGAACGCATATCCAATAGAAGACGTTGTGCACGTTGTTTATTTTCTTTCAATGTTTTTTCATATTGCCAGTCTTCGTCGAAATCATTGCCCGCATTTGTTTTCAATTCTTCAACGGTTTTTTCAACAGATATTTTGATGGCATTTTTCAAACGATCATCTTTGAGAACTGAATCAGCAACTTGTGGTAATGGGAAACGTGTTAAACGTAAGCAATGCACCATAAATGGAAACCACGATTGAATCCAATTGAAAAATGTGCCGTTCTCTTTGGTCAACGATTTATTGTATGTTCCAACACGCAAAATATTGATAACATCCTGTTGAGCAAGTTCCGCATTCAAATGTTGTTCCTAATTATAAACAGTAAAAGGAAATTTTATACAATTAACTATAAATTTACTTTGATTGAGCCATTGTTACCAAGCACTTGATATTATACATTATTATCATTGAAAATCGACAAAGTCATCAAAGTACTTCAATTCACATCTGATAAACTTGAAGTTCAGGTTATTAGATTGAATCATTGGTAGATTTCAATTTTAAATTATACTTACATTATTTGAAGGTGAACAAAAATCACACGCAAGCCCATTGAGCTTTTTCGATTGCACTTGCAATGTTTGCATTGGGGTTTCTTTGATTTGATACAGAGATCGATCAAATGATTGTTTTTCCTGTTCTTTGTTTTGAATACGGATTCGTTGCCTTTCGGTTGCACGTCGGCGTGCACCATAATCAGTGGTCGTGCCGTGATCGTCATGATTATCAGTCTCAGTTCGATGCATACGTACTAAACTAATAGCATCTTGCATATAAGTTTGCATCACATCAACCATGTCTTTTGCTCTGAAATTTTTTTAAGAATACCAATGAATCGATTGAAAAAAAGTTTTTTAAAAAACTTGAATGAAATAAAAATTGATGCATTTAAATGGATTTTTATTACTATTGATTTGGGAACTTTTCTTTTGTAATGAACATCCATATATTTGTGTTCTATAGTTTCACATATATTTTAAAATATGTTTTCCATAAGAGCGCTGTCAATGAATATGACGGCTCTTTTTGATACTACTGTCACATTCCATACCTTTGCTTACTCATACTTAAGCAATTATGTACACAGACATGGTAGAGTCTGTGTTTTCAGCAGTAGCGCTGTTATATTTTTGTTGATAATTTGAGCATGATAATGAAACTTTTTTTTTATAAAGTTCTGAAATTGACATTTTCGGTTTGTCAGTGAATTTACAAAATCGTCCAATTTACATCATTTGTAAATTTACTAAAAAAATTCATAGTAATTTTACAAATTATGAAAATTGGAAGTTTTTGTAAATCTACTATGAATCTCCGTATAACAATAGCATAGAAAATTCATTTTGTCTGATTTCGCGGGATCTTTTTTTTAATTCACCCACAGTTAGTTGTTCCATTGGACCAATGTTTCCTACAACCTTTAATGATAGAACGCAGTACACATAGTTTTTCAACTTGTTTGTGTGTAAACAAACAAATGTCAACTGTTAATCTCATGTGTCAGATAAGCGTTCAATTGACAAACCGTTCAAAAAAAACCAACGTTCACAGAAAATTGATAGTTTTTCATTGCAATATAAATTTAAAAATTTAAATAAAATTAATGCCCCTAAATTTTCTAAAAACAATTTATTTATTTTTAAACCATTTTTTCATCGTAAATTTTGCAATTATTAATGTAAAAATATAATTATTTATTAAATGAAGTCATCAAGTTTGACATCACAAAAAAGTTTATAAACATACGTATTGCGCCATCTATCGAAATATGAGATATTGTAAATTTCGATAGTGAAAGTCGCTATGCATGAAGTCGAAAAATAACATTATTTGTTTTTTTTTGATGTTTTTTTCTGGTATTTTATTGTTATTATTATGATTTGGAATTATGCTACCAAAAAATTGTGAAAAAGTTGTATTTAAACTGATATATTCATCATTTGTAAATTTACCCTGACTTTTCGTAGTATTTTTACAAAATGATATTGTGACTTTTATTTTGACACATTTTGTAAATTTACTACGAAAATTCAGTGTAAATTTACAAATGACTTACAACACAGTGTTCGTTGGAACATAGCGCCATCTATTGAAATAATCTTAATCTACTTAGACGAACTTTTTTGTGTGTCTATAAATATAGAATGTCACACTGTACATATGGTTAGATGTGTACTTTCCTGTACAACATTTTTTTCAAAAGTGTACAAAGCAAAAAAAAAAGTATGGCCTATTCGGAGGGTTTGGTAAAATACAAGACAGTGAGAGAGAGAGAGAGTTCTGCGCGTGGTAATTAAATTAAGTGGGAGGTTAACGTATTCTCTGTGCGGCGAAATACACAAACACACACTCACACATTAGTTTATAAAATAGCATTTTAACGTTTTGCACGCTCAAAACGATCGAGCGTGTTAAAAAAATTGACAGCTGACAATCATAATATTATTTTGACCTCCCAATTAATACTCATCCACTGAACGCGTAGTCACCAATGACTGAAAATTGAAAATAAATCGTATGATTTGCATTCGTAAACTGATTGTTGATAATCATCAAAAAATTATCAAAAAGACATGCGGTAATTTACATCAATTTCGCAAGCGTACTACACTTCACAAGCTCTACTATTTGCAGCAAATGTGTGCATATAGACAAAACCGCATCTTGGTATTTGCCAGTTTGCTTAGTCATCATCATAATATTCATGTGCAGCAGAAAACACTTTATGCTAATCGTAAGTACAGCAATAACGTAGCAAAACATTTGTTGCACTTTTCAACTTTCCATGTGACGAACAGATTCATTCAAAACTGACTAATCGACGAAGAGCAATTTTAAACCATTACAAAATGGAATGTGCTTTCCATTTTGCTTAGTTATTGATTTCGTTTTACTTAACTCAATTTTTGTTGTATATAATTTTTTATATTCTTGAAATGCGTCACACAAAACCACAAGATAAAAATTCAACAAATCATCAATAGCAATAACAACATGAATATTATTAATTTGGATTTAATAAAATGGCTTTAATTTGATGGGAAAAGGAAGTATATCATTTAAATTAAATATTTTTGACGTCAACTCTATCGTCGATCAACAATGTTTGAACATCAATAATTTCCGTGTTTTGTAATGATTGCAAGTTAAACGTTATGTGAATACTCATATAGCACACGAATAACATTAATCGCATTAATACAACAACAACAACAACAACAATCATTTATGGACCGCATTAATGAAAGAATGAAAATCATCAGACTCTATTTTACCAAAGTCTGTAATAATAAGGATAATGATAGTAAAAAAGCCCTCTTGCCGCCGCCATCATCGTTATTGTATCGGAAGTTGATTCTATCTTTACGTTTGATTATTATGTATTAAATTCATGGCATACTCGTATTTTTTGCTGTATCACATATCTAAACTGTTTGGGATTTGATCCCGAATTTTCTTACATTCAACAAAATCCTTCGTTCCAATTGGCATAGAAAAATTTATATGGGGTTTGTATTCCATTTCAAAATCGTTTCAGTATTATTATCTAATTGAGTGATAACATTTCTTTCCCACGTAATTCGTTTGAAAAAGAATCAAGGGAAGACCAATCTAACTGAGTTGCTTGAATGTATATACGTAATTTTTTTTCAGTTGTGCACGCGCCATTCACGATACAAACTGATGCCAAACGCGCTGAGTGTTTTTATTTGAGAATTTCTTTATCACCAAACATGTGTCAAATGAAATATTCTTTCCAGCACTGAATCAGTCGGAATCGGTCAATCGTATTTTATTTTTCTTCGCTAATACAATGTTCACATTAAAATCATGAGTTGTGCATTCACTTCATTTAAATTATCGTGGAAAAGTTCACAAATTACTTATTTCCAACGTATGTTTCGTTTCCTTTTGATAATATTGTTTAATGTAGTATAACAAGCGTCGTGGTTGATTTATTGGCCCCTTTGATACGCTACAAAAAGCAACTTTGAAAACAGACTTTGAATGACATTTAATGTTTACAACGCTCTCTTTTGATAACTTTAGCTCTGTAAATGAACTGCCTAAAGTTTATGAATGATTGTAAAACGAAAAAAATCTCAAAAGTCTGCAAGAGACTCTGCAGATTTGGTCGATATCATCGTAGAAAGAATTCTACTTTACTTTCATTGAATCCAGCTGTAAACTGCGCCCGCACAGAAAAGTGGGAGTGAGCTTCACGAAGTTCCTCAAGAATAATTGAAAAAAAAAATCGTATATGCAATCAAATAAAAATGGACGCTATAACAAAGAACAAAGGAACTTTAAAACAAACACGAAGAAAAGCCCCTAATGAATAAACAAATGTGCAAAAAAACAAGACAGAATACATTTTATTGTAGGCCATAAAAGAAAAGCAAAATCATTTCTTATCGCTTCATAATGTTAAACTGGTAAAAAGTGTGAGAATTTTGATGCCTTCAAACATTTAAACGTTTAGCGATCGATAATACTTGTCGCTTCGATAATATTTCAAAGCAGCAACAGCTATACTTGATAATTGAGTGGCACATGCGAAGGCACCTGGTTTTTATTTTATGCTGACTTAATTTGATTGGAATCAAGTAAAAGAATTTAGTTACAAAGTTCAAAAAGGAAACGAAAAAGAAACTACTTGATAATAAGAAAACGAAATGAATTGAGAATATATTACAAACATTGATAGTGGTTCTCTTTTGATGGAATGTATTATATTCTTTCATAGTGTTTGAGAATCGAAATAAAAATATGTCAAAAATACACAAGATAGCACGTTGAGCCTTTAACCCTAGAACCGTTTTTGGCAAAACCATCTGAGCTTCGTGTATGGAGACACTCAGTGCACGTAGTGTATTTTATAATTTCATTTTTTGATATTTTTCATATCGAATGATCGATGAATAGATTTTGCATGTATATGACACGAAATAGAAATTTTTTCATATTTTTCTTTTTTATTAAGAATAAATTAAAATTGAATGTCGAAGCAGCTATGAAAGCAAACCAAAACTGAATAAATTCTGAAAATAAGTAAAAAACACTTCTTTCGAAGTTCCCAGTGTGACGCAATACTGTAAATCTGAAAATCTGACAAGGTCCAGGTCTTGAGTTTCTCTACACCAATCATACCCTCTAACATCCAAATCACATTTAACCGAATCCAAATAACGTCTACGAGGTCTTCCCCTATTTCTCGGTCCATCTGAATCAGCATACAAAACCTTCTTTGGCAAACGAGACTCATTCATACGTTGGACATGACCAAACCATCTCAATCTCGACTTTCTTGCTACATCATGAACCGACTCAACATTCAAATTATCTCGAAATCTTTCATTTCTGATACGATTTTCCCATTGATCCCTACGCGATACTCCAGAAATCATTCGCAAAACTTTCATATCAGCCACTTCCAAACCATGAATTAAATTTTGAGAATCGACCCAGCTCTCGCTTCCGTAAAGGATATTTGGTCTGAAGATTGACTGATGAATCATCAATTTCGTCTCCTTACTCAACTCACGCTTATTGAGAACGTGTGATCTAAGTTGCGCTACTACCTTATTTCCATTCATTCTACGGTATTCAAACTCTTTCAGAAGATGCAACCCAAATACTTGAATTGTGACACTTATTCAAGCAAGTTTCCATTCAATTCGCATTGAATAGTTTTTCGAGTTTTACCCACATGCATAACCTGAGTTTTCAAACTGCTAATTGTCATTCCAAAGTCTGTATAGGCCGCTTGTAAATCTCTAATACTATTCTGCAGCTCCTGTTCAGAACTACCGCATAGTACCAGATCATCTGCATATGCTAAAGCAGAGATTACATTACCCCCAAAGCTACGTTCCCCCTTAGATTTCCTGATTTTATCAGCTTATCTATATAAATAATAAACAGAAGCGGTGAAATTGTACAGCCCCGTCTAAGACCATTACGCACATCAAACCATTCGCTCAAATCACCATCCACCCTAACTGATGCTTTACTGTTTGCGTACAAACTTTTGCCTTAAGAAGAGACCCATTTATTCCATATTCGGCTAGAACCGACCACAACTTAGATCTTGGAATACAATCATAAGCCTTCTGCAAATCAACGAAACATAAAAACAAATCCTTATTTTTCTCATGGAATTTCTCTAGCAGCTGTCTCAAAACAAAAATTTGGTCTTGGCAACCCCGCATAGGGCGGAATCCCGATTGATTTTCATCCAGAAGCTGTTCAACAATAGCTCTGGTTCGTTTTTCCAAAATTGAACTATAAACTTTTCCGACTCAATAGAGAAATTCCACGATAATTATTGCAGTCTTTATTACTGCCTTTCTTATGAAGAGGAGAAATTACTGCAATGCCCCAGTCTAAAGGAACAACAGAAGAGCCCCAAGCGAGATTAAAAATACGAAAATTTATATCAGAACATTTTCAGATTTACAGTATTGCGTCACACTGGGAACTTCGAAAGAAGTGTTTTTTACTTATATCAATAGTTTTGATAGTATTTTGGTTACCGTTAATATGTTCAAAATGGCAAAAGATGAAGATTTTTGTATAGAAAATGTGACATGAACGAATTCTACCGCAAAATAAATGTCATATTCGATTTTCCCGTACCAAAAAACCCACAAATACCAATTTTCATAGCAATCGAATAAAAACCAATTTATTCCAAAAGAAAGGTTTCAAGCCGGAAAATCTGAAAAATTGAACCAATTTCTCAAAACGGTTGCCACCATTGAATTCCTCGGGTCCGACTTATGTAAAATCAGTTGTCAAAGTGAACATTGAACAAGAAAAGTAAAAACCTAGTACATTGCAGTTGATTACTAAGATATTAAATTATAGGTGGCCGCTTAAGTTCAAACTTTTCCCGATTTTCACCAAATAAAAGAATGTTGTCGTTTCAAAATGTGTATATCGACTCAAATTTGAGTGCGCTTTCGATCCATGAGGAAAAAGTCAAGTCAGTCATACATTTTTTCATGATAAATGTCGATTTTCATCGATTTTCCCCCGTTTTTCGAGGTCTAGTCATCCTGATCTAACCTTTTACGTTGTTTTTTTTCTTCAAAATTTCTTTATTGCTTCATCAAGATGACCTTATGCCTTTGCAATAAGCCAAGAGTTGCCGTGATTTTATTGAATAATACCCTATCTACCTGTGATCAAAAATGGACGAAAAATTGAAAATTGATCGAAAAAAATTTCAACTTCGGGATGCGATTTTTTTTTAAAACGAATTTTCCCAGATATGACACATTCACGAAATCATCACATATTGAGTCCCCAACAAACACCTAGTTTTTTGATTTTTTCTATGTACGCAATTTTTTTTAAATTTGGATTACGTGAAAAAAGTCATGGTCATTTTTCGCCGAACATGTGACATAACACATTTTTGAAAATTTTTCCATTTTGATCCGGAAAGGAGAGTCTTTTACCTTTCTAACGACGTATAAATCATTGTTGTACCTTAAGGTCCATTTTCCAAGGCGGCGATTGCAATCGTCCACGATTTTTTTTCAAATCGGGCGTCAAAAAAACCACAAATAATAAATCGTTCACGATTTTGGCGTCAAAAAAACCATTGATCTCAATCGTTAACGATTTTGGCCAACGATTTGAAATCGTACACGATTGTAATCGCCGCCTTGGAAAATGGACCTTGGAAAATGGGCCATTTACAGATGGCCAGAAAAATGTCCGATTAATGAAACACTCAAAAAGGGCCTCCCAAAATTTTTCGACCCCAGACCCGAAAGACATGCGAGACGAAATCGAAAATTTCAAAAGCGCATATATTCTCAGTTTTCATCTACTTTGAATAAAAATTGAAAAAAAAAAACTTTTTTTCAAAAACTACGGAAAAAAAGTGTTCATACAAACATATCATACGGCCAATTTTGAGGTTTTTGGCTATTTTTGGCCAATTGACCATATCTCGTCCACTTTTCAACCGATCGTGATGATTTTTTTTTTTAAATTATCTACGCAGTCCCTAGATTCCGAATATGTCAAAAAATAAATTCGAAAAAAGCATGTCGGTGGTCAAAAATCGAGGAAAAGGAATTTTCAGCGATTTTTTCAAAATGTCACCTGGCGGCCAAATTTTGAATTTTTAAAATTTTTTTGCGGATTCTTAATTTGGTACCCGAGCACTACTAAAATATGCACAAAATCCTTTCCAAAAGTCAGCGGTATAGTGACGCAAAATATACATATTTCATATGTATGTGGGATGTAGGTATTGCGTCACTTGGGGGACTGCCGTCCCCCGTGATAAAGGAAATAATAAATGCTTATTTGTTTTTTTTTATAGATATAGACTCTCTGCACATAAAAATAAAAAAGTTTGGTGGTGTTTGGTTGAAATTTTTTTTTAATTTTTGACCTGAAATCCATCTCAGGCACTGAGTGTTCTTAACGCGGTTCCAGGATTAAATAATATAAGTTACGAATAATCAAATAATATTAATTTCCAAAATCAAAACATTCTTCATATCGATTTTCTTGTGTTGATGACTTCAGAACGTTTCAGAAAACTCAAAATTTAACATGAAAATTAACAGCATTTACACAGTAAGAAAATATCAGCCGACGCTATACGCAAAGCCGACTGGTACGTGCGCTCATACGTTTTTACATCTTTTACATCTAGTGACCATACGATTTTTCGACTGATTCGTTACTCTTTGTGCGTATCTTCGCACAGTCGAAAAATCGTATGGTAATAGATGTAAAAGATGTAAAAACGTATAAGCGCACGTACCAGTCGGTTTTGCGTATAGCTTCGGCTGATATTTTCTTTCTGTGTAACATTAAGAATTCATAACATACGGGCATATAGTATATAACTCGAGAATGAATGCGAGATATATCCTGAGATTTAATGAAATATACATCATCATATAAAAATTGAGATTTTTTTGTATGGCGGCGTTTCAATTTAATGAAATCTCAGAAGAAGACCCACATTCATTCTCGGACAATCATATACCAAAATATACACGTAAGTGATATATACTCGTTCGGTCAATTTTATGTAATCGAATGTATATATATTCGAAGCTTCGATAAAAATGGTAAAGAATGCACACCAAAGGTTGCCAAGTGATTTTGAATGCATTACAATGCATCGATTTAAATTGAGAACATCTAATTTATCGTTTAAATGCTTAACATCTTCTTTGTTGCTGTTTTTGTTTCTGCATTCAATGCACTGAATGTATATAATTTGAGTATGTATGTTTTTCGAATCGTTTTGGCTGTAATTAACTTTACAAAATGGAATAAAAATAAATTTATTGTGGATTTTAAGTGAAAGGTGCAATGTTATTATTCTTACCGTGCTTTGTTGAGCAAGTAGCCAAAGACACATAGAAAAATAAATAATTCAAAAATTCCTAACATTTTTGTTCAACGTCAGTGGCTGTGTGTAAAATATCTGCACATCAAAATGTTTAACACAAAAAAATTCTGCGACCGAATTTTTTCGCGTATGATTCAATTTCGTTGGTGCTTGTTTTTTCAACTAAAAGAGTTCCTTAATTAAATTTCACGTTCAAGAAATGACTGTTTTTCTCCTCAGATCTTTGCTGATTTGTTAAAATGGATTATTTTGTCTGATTGTTATTTATTAAACGCACGATAAGTAAGTAGGTGAACAAACACATTCGAAACAAAAAAGTTGTTTTTACTACAAAACGTTTAACGTTCTGTGAAAGTTAGATGCCCTCTTCCCCTCTATTTGTCCAGACCGGATTTATAATTTATACGATTTTGTAGTCCATTCCAGGGTGATTTGTTTTTGTGTTGCAATAACAAATTTCGCAAAACAAACTATCTACGTCTTCTATTGTTCCAAATAGAAATTGTTTCAACTGCGGAAAAAATCGATGATATATATCTCTGACTGATTTATAGAACGAAATTAACTATTGATTAATTTTGGCAGCTGCTTATTTAGTACACTTCCAATTGAATTTCGTAGAAAGTTCGGTGAAATGTTTGTTGAGCTCTCCTTTCCTCTCACTCTTTCGTCACTCTTCTATCTGCCTTAAATTGAGTTCAATGCGTACTCAACAATGTATTTGAATGCGTGCAACTTCAAAATTATAATTCTGTTTAAATTTTGAAAACGGTTACATTCACACATATCGTTCGAATACCGTGTGTCTTTTTTTATTGTTTATTTCATTTTGGGTTCAAAAGGCTCACGGCATTGGAGAATGTTTTATGGACTGAATTAAAAAAACATTCGGTTTATGTTTATAAAAATTACTTTTTCTTTTTTTTAATCAGTTCAAATTAAATGTTTACAAACAGCTAATTTCAAATTAAATGTTTATCAATGTCAGTTTGAGTTATATTTTTGATATCGACTTATGCAAATGTTCAAATTTTAACAAGCATGACAAATATCATTGCTGACACTAGAACGTTTTTTATCTCTCTCACACACAATATGCAGAAACAAGTTTTTTGTTCCTAAATAAAGTGAATGAAATTTTATTATTTAACTTTTTTTCCGTTACCGAGTGACATGAATGGAAAAATCTCAACTGTCACAATTGCGTTTGCACAAACTGTTAAACAATCAACGTTCAACTGATGACTTTTAATTACTGCGACAAATGTGGTGTGTGGGGAAAATGACATGAAGCTTCTTTTTAAATAAAAAGAAAAACACTGAAAAAAGCGTCGACGTGTGTTTCTATACCGCGCACTTTATCACAGATATTATACACATACACATGTGAGTTTGTGCTCGTATTTTTGTCGATTTGTCGTATAAATGTGTGAAATTTTACGACAGAATTTAGATTTGACTCGATTAAAAACGTAATTAATTTTCAATTCGTATTCTTAACGTGCTCGTACTTGCACATACTCATTCACATTTATTTTAACGAATTCATTTTAAATGTTAAGTATGTATTGCGGACAAAGTGTACGCGGACAGAGTCAGTCAAATTGTTTTTATCAGCAACTTAGCTGTCACACGAATTTCACACACAGATAATCTTTTGCTTGCACCATGAACTGTTATCACATTCTATTCAATTCTTTCACATCGAATCTTTTAATCTGTATATGATTTTAATTTCTCCGAGAGTCAAGCGCAATAAGGGCACACTATATAAACGCCATCTATTAATAACCGACTAACTACAATGTAAATCAAACGTATCTGTTTCCCCTTTTTATTTACTCCCTTCCCCTCTCGCTATACTTTTACATTGTAGTTAGTCTGTTTTACAAAGATGTCGTTTCTGTGTAAGATGTGTGACGTCACAATGTATTTATATGGATAGCGCTCGACTCTCGAATTTCTCTTCATCACGTATGTTTGCCGTTACTATCATTATGATTTTCGTCAATTACAACTGGCAACTACTGGCAATCATACGCATACGGCTAATCCCATGATCATTTAAAAAAACGTAATATTATAATGTGTTCAATCACTTTTGCCGAACAAATATTCATTTTGAAAATGTTTTAACCAATTGATTTGATTTACTTAGGTGGTTGGAAATTTTTGACGAACGAAAAACGTACGTTTGAATGTTGATAAAATAAGATAATTTGAGTAAAGATGAAACGAAAAGAAATTGCTGTTTAGCGATGCGGCTTTAAAAAATATAATATGATATTAGTAAATTTGCCCACATTTACTCAATGATTTGTTATAAATTTGTTGTTACGTTGAATTTTCTTTTTCATTTTCGGTTTAATTACAATTGCTCTATTGCCTTGATAAAAAGAATGTAAATTGTGCAATATGCATACACAGTAAGAAAATATCAGCCGACGCTACACAAAACCGACTGGTACGTGCGCTCATACGTTTTTACATGTTTTACATCTAGTGACCATACAATTTTTCGACTGATTCGTTACTCTATGTGCGTATCACCACACAGTCGGTTTTGCGTATAGCGTCGGCTGATATTTTCTTACTGTGTACCGAGTATCACCGATTATCTATGTTTCAATTGTGATGGGTTATTTTTAAGGTTGTCGACATACACTCAAACACATTGGATTGGAAAATTGAAGGAAAAAGACAACAAATTGATTCGCTACAAAAGCACGTTGTCACAAAAAATGATTAAAAATTGCATTGTTAACAACGAAAAAAGTGTACACAATGTCTTACATGTAACTACCGGAGATCTCAAATTTAATGCAATTCAAGTGAAGCAAATCCAATCGTACGATTACTTTATGTACACATGCAACACACTCAATCAAATGCGTAGAAATGCGAGCATATGCAGCAGCAAATCAAAAATTAACAATACCATAGAAGTCGTGCTGCATACCGTTCGATCGCGTTACTGCTCACACGCACTTAGTCAAGATATACATACCATTAAAGAGAAAAATATTAACAAATGCTTGTCCGTATGTATTTTGCATTTCAGCAGTTACACCATACACATAAACACACATTTTCGGAAACTACTTTGCTTTTCATTCTGTTTTTTTGTCGGGTATATATGTAGAGTAAGGTTGGGTGATGTGAACCACTTTTTTGCCTAGTCTCATAAAAATATCAACAAATTGAATTTTTAAACAACTGATGGCTCTATTCTGAAGGTAAATCCTAAATATATGTCACGGGGGATTTTCAAAATTTTGATTTTTTCATTTTTTTTTTTTTTTTCAAATTTTCTAAAACATTGATTTTTGGACTTTTTCTAAAAGATTGGGTGATGTGAACCACTATTAAAATTTAATAGTAAAAATCATGAATATCCACATAAATCGCTTTAAATGTTCAATCGGTCCTTCCTGAAGACAAATCAACGAAGATACGAGAAAAAAATATTATCACCCTCATGTAATCGACCCCAAGAGGGGAGGGGTTCAATTATTTTTCCGATGCCGATTTGTGGTTTTTGGAATGGAAATAAGCCCATTCTAAAGGTAACTTTTGACGCTCTATCGATTGGCAGTATTATTTTTTGACCCTGATCCCTCCCTACCCCCTTTTATAGGGTATCTTTCAGTGTTTGGTTAAGATATCTGAAATGTATCTAGATACTTTTGAGATAGTATCTCAATTTTCCGAAATTCATCTAGATATTTTCAAGATTTTCATCTTAAGATATCTTTCGAAAAGATGAGATAAAAAAATTAGATAGCGATTTTTTTTTTTGAAAAATGTCTAGGCATAGCTGTCCACGAATGTTCGTTCGTTCGTTCATAGAATATTTTTTTGGTCTTTTTGTTCGTTCGTTCGTAGAATTCTGCTGATCCATGGATTCTCAGGATTTGACCTGGATTCCAGAACTTCCATAATGTAATTACAATTAAAAATACATACAATTACACGAAGAATGGATTTTTTATAGAATATCTTTAAGGAAGTTTTAGAATTCAGGTCAAATCCTGAGAATTCATGGATCAGCCAAATTCCACCGGATTTGGACTTTAGGCTATTTTCGCGATTTCCCATCGGAAAAGCGGGGAAAATCGATTTAAAGTTTTCCTAATTTACCTTTATTATCGCAATATTTGTTTACATTCAGAAAATAAATTTCCTTAAATTACGAACGAACGAACGTGTTCGTTGTTCGTTGTTCGTACGAATATACGAACGAACAATCCAAACAATTCATTTTCTACGAACGAACGAACGAACAAAATATACATTGAAAACGAACGAACGGTTCGTTCGTTGGTGTTCGTGGACAGCTATGTGTCAAGGTGAAAAAAGAATGTTGATTAATATCTGCTATAAACAAACTTCACGCACTGCGGATATTAATACGAGATAAGATATCTTAACCAAACACTGGTATCTTTCTTAATATGTCATTTTAAGATATTTCATACAGATCGATATGAAACGGCCAAAAAAATATTTTTTTCAAAGAAGCAACCTCTTTTTGGGGGTTAGGGGTGGGGGAACACCCCCACTACCCAAAACTTCAACGGATCAAAAAATAACGTACTACAAAGTTGTTCAGAATGACGAGAGAAATTTTTTTGGATCCCTGCCTATTGTCACTTACAGTCGGCTTTCAAGGCGATCGGATTTTGCGCGCGCCATCTCTGAGTCCCAATGCAAACCAAAGGGAAACTCTACACACTTGGGTGTTCGTTTATATATTTGTCAAACATTGATATCTGTCAAAAGAAACAGCGTAAACAACACGAAGTAAATATTTTTCTGGTGAACAATCGGTATTATTGTGATTATTGCAAATAAAAAAATTAAAATGTTGCCAGTTCTTTTTCTTCTTCAAAAAATCTTAACGCAAATCTGCGATTGCATCGAGAACTGAACACGAGACATGCTAACTACTTGAATCTAATTTTGTTTTTCTCTCGATTTTTTTTTATCTCTTAGTCAAATCATAAATTTACATTGACATTACGGAAAGACAAATGTGACACCATCAAATTATCGTCGGATTATCGAAATCATCGTTATTTAACCCTCCGTTTAGCACTCTTTTCTGTTGTCATATACGTAGCGCTTGGGTCTGGCCAGACCCACATACATTTTATATGAAAAGTGGCGCAATTTATAATCTGTTACCAGTAAAAATCCCCGGATTTGAAAAAATATTTGCTTCAAGATACTGTATGTGGTAGATGGGTCCAAGATATGACATTTGGGACAAAAAAAAGTTCCCCAGATTGATATGGGACTAGATATGACCCTTGGTAGTTCCAAGAATCCCAATATTCAGTGATATATGACATGAATATTTCTGAATACTAGAGCAAAAAACTATCAATCGATTTTTCTCTCTTTTCCGATGGGAAAATATTTGAAATAAAAAATCGCTGCGAACGAACGAACAAAATTGTTATTTACAAAATCTTGTGAAAATGAAATTTTTTGTTTACAGTGGAAATTACTTGAAAATTGGCATGCCATATTTTTTTCAGTAGAAAATAACTTTCTGAAGTTTTCAAGTCGATCGGACAAAAAATGAGTATAGCTCCCATACAAAAATTTCAATATTTGAATTAAATTTTTTTTTTTTAAATTTGAATTAAAAAATGAGTTAGCTCCCATACAAAAATTTCAATATTTGAATTAAAAATTTTTTTTGGAAAAATGTGAATTTTGTGAAAATAATTTTTTTTGTTTACAATCGGAATTACTTGAAAATTGGCATGCCTTATTTTTTCATGAGTAAAAAAGTTTGGATGATGAAAAAATTGTTTAATAATTGTGAATTGTTGAATTATTTAACTTAGCAAAGTGATATAAATTTAGAAGAAATTTGATTAAATAACTAAATTTATGCGACATTTTAATTTGACTTTTTATATAGATTTTGGAACAAAAAGAATAAATAACTGAGCAAAAACATAATTAACTGGGCATTTAAATGGTATTATAAAATATTTGTGTGTTTTTTTCAATTTTTTTATTTATTATAAATTCTATTAATTATTTTCGTTATTATTATTACAAAACTTATTCAATTTATACAATTTTGCAATTTTATTTGCAAGAAAAAAATATATGAGAACCTGGCGTGACAGAGATGGCGCTTCTTAAATCGAGTCGCGTTCAAATACATTGTCCATATACAACGCAAGTGATAATCGATCCCTGCCCTCCAAGTCCCCCCACCCCCCAGGGGGTCGGGAGTCATAACTCCTTCACCCATGATTTTTTTCACTCGAAATTCGGAATCAGCATCCCAAATTACCCTAGAAATGATATAAATAATGATGCCAATCGATAGAGCATCAAAAATTACCCTATTAATGATACTTTTTCTAGAGATGCCCATGATGATCGCCTTAAAGTAGCGTGAAATAGAGTCAATACTGTGGTTCACATCATCCAACTAAACGTGGTTCACATCACCCAACTGACGCTATTTTACGCGGATTGACACTACATGAAAACTAAATGAGCAAATCACAAAATCTCTTTGGATTATTAAACGATAAACAAAAAACCAACACTATGAATATATTTACCTTCAAATATGTTGGTTTTTTTTTTTACAAAAACACGAGAAGTTGGAAAAACTCTGAGAAGTAATAATTTCATTTTTTTGCCATAAAACAATAAATTGTGCGTTGTACCTGGCGTTTTCTTTTTAGAAAACAAGGTACTGTCGATAGCAACTGATGTTAGCAATTTGGTTGACTTTTGTCATCGTTACGTACGAAAATTAAGAACTGTTCACATCACCCAACCTTACTCTATAAGAGTTTGAATATGAATGAACGAAATTTAGACTTTTTACAGATTTTTTGGACGACTTTTTATAAATGGCATTTTTTAATGTACAGCCGATTCAATTTGGACGTTTCACATGGTTATAAACGATTTTCGGTATATTGCACGCTTTTAAAACCATTTTCTTTATTGAAGAAGGCAAATTGATTGCACACACCTTAAGGGATTCTTTAAAATCTATTAATTCTTTCCTATGCTAATAAAGTTTTCCATTTGACTTTTTAAAAAATAAATAAATAAGAATTCAACAATAAAAATGAAGGTTGGTTCGCATCAGTAAACCAAATCTATAATTGAGTGAGAAAATAAAAATATAATACATTCTTACCAATTTTGCTTCCTTGAAGATTGAATGTAATAAAGAAAACAGGACTAAATCCATGTGATTCAATACTATGAAAACGAAATTGGCCGCAACCATCAAATGATTTGGATTCAATTGCACTAACCAACAAAAGCAACTGTCTTAATTCTTTCAGTTTTGCCGATTCGACTCTTCTTCTTATAATTTCTTTTTTGCTTCAGACGAATTACAATTATAATTCTTCGTTTTTTTTCTCGTATCGTAATAACAAACACTAATGACAGTTTGTTAAATCAGCCGCACTCACGTTTGAATATAAATAAACTTCGAATGAGAAAAGGTTAAAGAGATAAATTGTGCATTTCACATTGAATACGGACGCTGAGTGAATGGGCTTTCTTGCCGTAAACACAGCTTCAAATGTGTATGTAAACAAGCTATTTGAAGTAATGAAGTAAGGTTATGATCCTTCAATTCATTTTCCATTCTGTTCCATTACGCATTGATTAATTTCCATTTTTTCCATTCTTTTCTTCTGATCAACTCTAGAGTAAGGTTATGTGACCAAATGTAATCACCATATTCACCACAACAATCGGACACATGTGCTGTATGCTAAGTGAATGAATAAAAACCGCACTTTCTCTTATCGATGGAAATATAGGAATTGTTGTTTCAAAAATCAATTCGACGAAAATAAAACACATATGTTATATTTCTTTCCTTCAATTTTTATAGTGTTTTATTATGGTTTATCAAGGTAAATAGTGTTGAACAAGTTTTAAAAAAACGTTACACTGTTTACTTCTTGGCTGGTGCTTTTTTGGCATTGGTGGCCTTTCTTGCTTTTCGGGCAGCGGCGGCTTTTTTCAATTGAGCCTTTCGTACTTCCAATGCGCGTGCAAAAATGACTGATGGATTTGATTTTGTCAATTTAACACCACGACGTTTAGCATCTTCCAAATTGCTAGAATGTTTACGAGCTTCAGCTGACAAAATAGCACGACGCTTAAGAACGGCAGCATATGGGTTAAGTTTAACCAATGCACGTTTGTTAACCAATGGATTAAGACGACGCACATGACGGAATTGTATCTTCTTCGGTGCACGCAATACCGAACGAATTTCTTCGGATTTCAACAAACGGCTCAAATCGGTGTTGGCCATTTTTGGTTGTGGCAAATTATAACCTTTTTTCATGGTTGAAGCTTTGTCCCAAGTACCAAACAGATCGTTAAGTCGGCTAAATGCCGATTCGGTCCAGACGACAAAGCGACCAACATGACCACCTGGTGCCAATTTTAACAAGTTGAGCTTATCAACTGCTAATGTATCGACACCAGGAATGTTACGGAACGCCTTGCGGATACCCTAAAAGTAACAACAATCAAAATTAATTTGTTCAATAAACGTTTACAATTGAAAATATATACAAAAAACTCAATTTGCTCCACTCATATATATATAATTAAATTAAATTTTTAATAATAAATAGAGAATGTTTGATGTGAAAACTTACTTCGTCCTTGTAGTAAACAACCAATGGTCCTCGACGTTGGATTCGACGACGGTTACGCATTTTACCACGACCAGCACGGAAACGTTGGGACTTGTACACCTAAAATTGATAAAGGCATTTTTTTAAAATATAAATGAAATTTAGTTTAATTCTAAACAGTATCTAAACTTTTAAACTGTATAATCAAGCTGCACCCGAAAAAATATATTGAGTATGTTCAACGGAACGCCTGTTGATTAAAATCACTCTGGCATTTTTTAAACCGAAACGTTGTTTCGCAATTTGTAACAAACATGGATATTGTTCAACAAAATGTTTAAAATGCAATTCATACACATAATTCACGAAATTAAATTGAGAAAGTGATTGATTGAAAGTTTTTGCTTATTTTCAAAAAAATTTCAATACCTTTTGGATGTCAGCCCATACGCGAAGACGGCGCAAAAGAGCAACAGCTTGCTTGGTTTTGGTCAATTTTTGTGTTTCGTCCGAAACGACCAATGGGAATTCAGAAACACCATCGATGATGTGTCCTTTTGATTGAACCAAAGCTGGAACACCTGAAGCAGCGATGGCTGAAACCAAAGCGAAACGGCGTTGGTTGACATTGATCTTACGATGCCATCTGCGCCATGGCTTGGTGGGTGCAAACATGCGACCACCACGGCACATGTTACCGAAAGCACCCTGACCAGAGCGGTGAGTACCACCACCACGAACACGTCTATAAAAATAAAACGAAAATTGAATCATAGTTAATTGATTAAGTGTTATAATAAATGCGCACTCTAATTATACTTACGGGATACGGGCAACAGCACGCCCTGTTCCCCATGATTCAGCTGATGTTTGGTGACCTGTTTAAATAAATCATAAAATAAACACATTTTAATTTCTCTGCACTTTCCCTTTGTTTTACATCAAAATTAGCATAGCGAGTTTGTTTCCAATATTGAGTCACTTGAAAATGTATTATTTCACACTATTTCACACTCACCAGCTTTGTCGCTAACAGCGTATGCTTGACGGTTGTTACGACGCATCAATTGATGAACTTCATTGACAATATCAGGTCGGATTGGTGCCTTGAAAACTGTTGGCAATGCGACGGTTTTGTCCTTGATAGCTTGATTTTTCTCGGAGTAAATACTCACGAGTGGGCGTGATGCCGATAAACTCTAAAAAATTAAATAAAAAATACACAACATTTTTTTCCAATTGAAACGAATTCACAGACATATAAAAGAATTGCACATTATAAGTTGAGGTTATGCACGCGTTTCCCAACAATTATTATAAATTACTTTTTACCAAAAAAAATCTAACAATTTACTAAGAATTCGATGATCTGGGCAATGATATTACTAAATGTGTCATTATTGGAATTGTGCAATAAAATATTTACACGATTGGTTACAATTCCATGTCATCGGCCCACGTGGGATACTGTATTGAATTCATATTGCGGTGTATACACTATATCTACAACACAACAATTTTAAACTTGCGGACAATTTAAGGGAAAAAACGATCGAATTTCTCAAAAATGATTTTGGAAAACTTTTACAACTATTGCATACGATTTATCGGCACAATATTTCAAATTCTCAATATTTTCTTACCATTTTTAAACTAAATTCACTTGTTTTATTCAAAAATAATTCGATAATTATTTTGAAGACCCGTCGTCATGCTACGACAGACTTTGGAAAAGAAAGAAAATATGGCGGCACGACATATATCTCCGGATGTTCATGATTCCATAAAAACTGAATTAACTGAGACTTCAACATGTTGCCATGCAGAGGGCACCACTAACTTGTGTTGAATAAGAAGAACTAGACTCAATACGTACAATTTATAAACAAATTTTATTTCAAAATATTTTCCTAGAACTTATTTTCTTTTAATTTCTCTCAATACTTTTCAAATCTATTTTAAAATAAAAACAAGATGTTTTTAAAAGAACTTTTATTTTGAACAAATTCACAAAGAAATATGCAACTGTCAAAGAAGTTTTGAAATTTTAATAAAATTTGATTTGGTGCCAGTTTTGTTACTCATAATATAATAAAATCATTCTAATAAAATAAAACTGAATGGACAAGCAGGATAATGCAACTACTTCACACTATTATTAGCCAGTATTCAAATTTCTATATAATAGTGAGACTGTAATTGATCCGATTTTCAGAATTATTGGATGAAACTTTATGTAGTTACTGTTCCATCCTCATATGGCGTTGAGAACGAATGTAGCTGTCACTGATATTTGCATATTTATATAACATAAACGTTTCGAACTAAAACCAAATAGCGTAAGTAATACCAAAAATTGTGTTCTAGTGCGTAGAAAAATTTGTAATTTTTGTTCGTTTATTTGCAAATAAATAGAAAAACATGTCAACAGATGTAGTTGTGGATGCTCTTCCATATTTCGATCATGGATATGAAGATACCGGCGTACGAGAGACCGCTCTGGCCATGGTTGAAGAAGAGACACGACGATACCGACCAACCAAAAATTACTTGGAACATCTTCCGCCAATAAATACGACTTCATTTGAAAGCGGATTAATGCGAAATGAATTCGAACGCATACAAAACCGTTTGCCCATGGAACCGCTGAGTATGAAACGGTAGGAATTTCGTTGCCAACTACTCTATTTAATAGAGTAGACTCATAAAAATTTCAAGGCATCCTCCAATATTCTGAATATCCTTAAAAAATAAAATATCTTTATAAGTCTGTTCGTAAAGCCACACATATAATAGACGTGTAAGCAAAAATATTACTTAAAAATTGAGATTTGATAGTAGTAGTAGAGAAGGCCACATAGAATCATTGGTTAACTGGATACACAATCGCATAGGAAAAAAGATCACACCAAAATGGTGAACATACAATAACATCAAAAGGTAATTTTCAAATAAAATCTCACTACAAATTTCATACGTTGTTTGTATCTGCTTATGTGAATTTTATTGTAATTCGAATGGATCGGTGTATTCATTGGTCTCATATGACTCATTGTTTGTTTCATTCTCTAATCTAGGAAGTGCTCGTCGGACCATCGACAGGATCGATTACAACCATCAGATCTCAAATTTAAGCAATGTTGTTTGTTCAAATGATTTCAAATAATTCAAATTCATGTCATTGATTTACTCTTAAACTATATATATTTAAATTATTTTTCTTCCGTAATTTCCCTCATGGTATTATTGAAATGTCTTTTATTTTTCTATTATTCTTTACAAAATAACTCTATTTAAATGACTTTTCTTCTGCCTATTTCAGATATGAATTACCACCGCCGCCACCAAGTAAAATATCTGAATTGACAGCATGGCAAGATGCTGTTGAAAATTCAATGGCACAACTGGAACATCAAGCAGTACGTGCAATGAATTTAGAGTTGTTGCTCGAATATGGCTGTGAAACGTGGAAAGTCTATTTGGATGTGTTGACATCAATGTTGGCCAAAGCACAAAAACAACTAGAAAGCATCAAGAAGGAAATTCAAGATATCAATTGGCAACGAAAGGACAAACAAACGGAGGCCGGTGTAAAATTGCGTACACTCGAAACTCAATGGGTTAGTATAATCACTTAAAAATTACTCTTCCACTATTGAAGGAGTGCTCCATTCTCCCAATTAATTTTCCATTATTTTCATTTTTTTTCCTTTGTGATTCATCCCAGGTCATATTGGTATCGAAAAATTACGAAATCGAACAGGCATGTGTTCGACTCGAAGAGGAGATTGTAAAATCAAAGCAACAAGAAACAAATGAAGAAGGCAATCAACATTCTTCGAATGAAGAATCGAATGAAAACAACGAGAATGACAGAGAATTTGCTGACGAACAACCACCAATTACAAATGGAATTGAAAATGGTTATAAACATACAAACGATACAAATGAAATGGAGACAGACAATTAAATAATCGATTAAAGAAAATTAACCATATTTGTCATCAATTATATTTAGAATTGAATTAAAAAAAATAGTTATGCCCGTTTGTTTTTATATGTGAAATAAAAATCATTGAGAAATCGACAGCAAGAAACATACCGCATATGTTTGTTGTTGTTGTTGAAAGATTGACAAATAGCGTTGTTTCCATTCATTGAATGGTGCTATAGCAACTCTTTAACAACTTAATTGAAATTTCCGATAAAAACTAAGCGAATTTTATATCACATATATAATTTAATGCAATTTAGAAAAAATATGTAGACTGTAGAGAGAGATATTACAATTATATTAGTAAAGCGGAATTGCCTTTGTGAAATGTGTAACAAATTGAAATATTTTTCAATCTCGCGCAAGACATTTTCCAAACGGGATAAAGCCTATTGCAAAAAGACTATTTGCTCCATATGTGTGTATTTTTACAGTTGTATATATGGAGCAAAAAAAAAATCACATGAAAACGAATATGAGGCACAAAAACACATAGTACACAGTGGTTCAAGAGTGGATAAGAACGGTTTAGTGCGCAGAAATTAGTCGAGAAAATGTCAGTAAATGATGGTGACTCTCATGGGTCGCACAGGTCATTCTATTTGCTGTGAATTCGACAAATACACATCAAAGCAGTAAAAAAAAATCAATTCTGAAAATTTATTTTCTCTTCTCAGTTTGTTTGCACATTTCATTTATTCTGTTTGTTTTAGTTTTTTCTACGTAATTGCTTGATCAAAAAACGGATACAGTTTCTACAAAAAAAACTTCTAATAATATTATTTCTACAAAGACAATAAGGATAATAAACATTGTTTTTCCTCCCTCACATTTTAAATGAAGACTAATACGCAAAATTATTGTCTGTAACGAACAAAATTGGCAACCAGGAATTTATGTTATGGCACTTACTCGATAAGGTAATCAACGATACAAAGCGAGGACGACTAAAATGAAAACAGTAAAAAAACAATATGTAGTGTGTGTCTTTATGTTTTGTGAGGGAGGATATTGGTAGCATAAAATGTACAATCAACGTGTGCATGAAAAAATTGTTAATGCAAATGAAAATATTTGCAAATTTTGCACCTTCGACATCATAGCACATAATACGGGCCTTTATGTACATTAATCCTTAGTCCCAAAGTGCTTAAATGAAATAACTCAGCCCAAACAACTATTAACACAATGTTCTCATGTATTTTTTTCTGTGGCATATTTCTGGCTAAAAATAAAAGTTTTATCGCTAAAATGCTAAAATAGCAAAATAGATAAAAATGGATAAAGTGATAACGACAGCGAGCATAATGTTTATTGAATCGCCGTAGAATTTATTCAGTAGACTGAGCACAAAATGTTACTCCATTTGATTCTTGTGAATGTGAAAGAATGATGAAGAAGATGCAGTGCTATCTCAGTGCGCGCCAGTGATAATATTTGCACAACACGTGTAAATGTATATGTTATATGAACGGGTGGGAATTAAAGTGATTCAACTCTATTGAAAATAAAAGAGCAACATAATTTGTTTTATTACGTAGGTAGCTCCTTAATTATTGAGAATTGGCAACATTTAGTGTTGCCCGATGCAAACCATTGTCATATTCGTAAAGTGTGACATTTCTAATGAACAATAGCTTCTACAGAATGAATTTTAGTTTTGTGGTATGGCTACGGCGCCATTCAAATCAAATCAGTATTCAGAAAAAATGAAATTAAAAAAAAAAAAATTCGAACGATTTTTTCTTAAATTTTCAAAGAGGGCTCTCTACTCAAGAACATTACTTCCGACTTAAGTTGGGGTATAGGAAGGAAGTACCATGCCCTGCCACCGTATATAACTGGTTTGCGGAGTTCCATCGTCATGGTGCTAGCCACAGAGATCAATCGCACGATGGTCCTCCGAAAACTGATGTTGCTGCAAACACTCTGCTGCTGTGCACATACTGATTAACTTGGATCGTAGTTTCTTTTACAGTTAAATTGTGGCATGTCTGGGCATATCATCCCACGGCATACATTCAATATTTCATAATCACCTGGCAATTTGTACCTTCAAACCACATAATTCGACGATTGCTCAAAAATTGAAACCTTTTATTTGGTGCTAAGAAATGTCCAAGTAAACTAAACAGAGGATCACCAAAACACATCTGCGCGATCGCAATAGTAGCCAAGACATGATTCTAGTGCTTTGGACCCGAAAAAAAAAACTCAGTCGACTCTCTGAGTCTTCAAACATGAAAACAATCCAACAAAAGTTGTTCGTTCGTGAAGTGATAGGGAAAAAGTGGACCGCATTATTTTACAGTGTTGTGGGCCATATTGATACCATGTCTTTAGAGGATCAGAGGGCTTTGAATGTTGAACAATATGCAACCATTTGATTGCCAAAAGTCATCACGGAAATATGAAAACCAAACTTCCGAAACTTATGATCCCAAATCATGGCAAAAGGCAGCCCATCAAACAGTCGACTGTTTGACCAACCTAAAGATCAAAATAATGCACCATTCTCTGTGTACGCCTAATTCGAGATCCCTTTGTCCACCAGAGACCAAATTAGGATAGATCAAATATATTGTCCGTAGTTCAAATTAGGTGTATATCCAGAAAAGTGCACTTTTTTGGGGTGTCATGTTTGAGCTACTGCCGCAGCCATACCACAAAACTAAAATCCATTCTGTAAAAGCTATTGTTAATTAAAAATGCCAAATTTTACGAATATGACAATGGTTTGCATCGGGCAACACTAAATGTTGCCAATTCTCAATAATTAAGGAGCAACCCTCGTACCACACACCGAAAGGTATAATCGGTCTATAAATGATTGTTGCTATTGTAACTGCAAAAAATGTATGTTGGCATTTTATTTTTAACTGAATTTTGGATCGCTTTAGTTCTCACCATACATGCAGTATTCTATACATGCAAGCATTGCCAATGCGTCAATTTTTAGGCTTTATGATTGGAATCAGAAAAATAAAATTAATTTAGATGAAAACAAATATCTAACGGTGTCTAAAACTAATTGAAACGAAATCCATATTATGTCATTTCAAAGTAAAAATATAATAGAATCAATATTGATTACTACACCAGGTACAAAAGCTGGGACATAAAATGTAGTGGAACAAGCAAAAAAAAAGAATAACAACATATAATGGGACTACGATTGACCTGCATAATTTGCAGAATATTTGTTTGATAAAGAATTTATATGCATTGATTTTTTATTATATATGTTCCTTATGTTGATTCTAGGTAACAAAATGGTAACAATGACGTCAGAATCTGACAAAGCGTCATCGTCAGTATCTAAAAAGGCCAATTCAACAACAATCGCTCCAATCACAGAAGTGGCACCAAATATTTTAGTTTATAAAAAAGTATGACCTAATTAATGGAGCACACATAAAACTGAAATAAAATTTCAATTGAATCTCATTCCATGTGTTCATTTAGATGGAAGCAATTGTCGATAAGATGCAAGGTGAAAATGGTGGCGTTTCGGTGAGAACAGTAAAAGCTTTTATAAGCAAAGTCCCATCAGTGTTTACGGGCGCTGATCTCATTTCATGGATACTCAAAAATTTGGATGTTGAAGATGTCACCGATGCAATACACTTGGCACACTTACTATCATCACATGGATATCTATTTCCGATCGACGATCATCAACTAACAGTTAAAAATGACGGCACATTTTATAGGTATTCTTTTCAAATGTAACATTTCAATTTGCAAACTACTGAGTTAAGAAATATAATTCATAATTATGTTGAGACATTTGAAAACAAAAATTGCAATAAATAAAATATTATATTCTCTGTGAATTAGATTTCAAACGCCATACTTTTGGCCATCGAATATGTGGGAACCAGAAAATACGGACTATGCCGTATATTTGTGTAAGCGAACAATGCAAAATAAAACACGGCTCGAATTAGCCGACTATGAGGCGGAAAACTTAGCACGTTTACAAAAAATGTTTTCCAGAAAATGGGAGTTTATATTCATGCAGGCCGAAGCCCAGAGTAAAGTGGATTGTTGATTAAAAATTCAATTCCATTCTTTCAACTATTTCCATTCTTTTCTATGTGATCCAACCTAGGTAAAGTGGATAAGAAACGTGACAAACTCGAACGCAAGGTTCTTGATTCGCAAGAGCGAGCATTTTGGGATGTACATAGACCGATGCCTGGTATGTTTTTTGTTCATCGTAACAACCAAATGTTGAATTTTTCGCCGAATTTTTACGATGTTACAAATACTACTTATTTGCTACTGATTTAGTTTTAAATTGTTTCTCTTAATTCTCTAAAAATAAAAATCGAAATAATCGCAATCAATGTTTGAATAGGTCTGCTACATTGGGTTGGTTTTCAGTTTTATCGTCTTCTTTCGCGAATCTATTCGTCAGTTCAACATACTTTTGAATTGCTGCTTCAACATCTGATGGAATCATGGTTGTGTCTTTCATAGTAACGTACCATGTGATTCGCGAAAGAAGAAGATAAAACTGAAAACCAACCCAGTGCGTAGCAGACCTATTCAAACATTGATTGCGACGATTTCGATTTTTATTTTTAGAGAATTAAGAGGAACAACTTAAAACTAAATCAGTAGCAAATAAGTAACAGCGTGAATGAATGAATAAAACATCTTTTTCGAACGTTTTTTGTCGTTTTCCCATTTCATTCTATCAACCAAGGATGTGTTAACACAACGGAAATGGACATTAAAAAAGCGTATCGTCATGGCGCCTCAAGTCATGGGTCCGGTTCAGCTGGTGCTGCACTCAGCAATAATCCTATAGAGCAGAACAATAGACTGATTGCATTGCGCAAACAAAAACTCGAGCGTAATCACTTCATCAATTCATCACTTAATTTCCTTTGCATTACTTCCATTATATGTTTATTAATATCCATTACTTCCATTTTTTTCTATCCACCCGCAGGTAGAACAATAAAAGTTTCCAAAGCTGCCGATTCGTAAGTGTGATATTTATTTTTTCCAAAACCATTAAAGTCGATTGTTTACAAGTAATTAATATCGTTTCATTTGCAGCCTCGTATCGTACTATGAGCAATACAGTGAGTTCGATTACTTTTTAACTAGTCCGGAATTACCGAATCCATGGCAAACAGATAATACAGAATTGTGGGACTTAGAAAAAACAAGGTAAGTTTTCACAAACTCGCTCTTGAATACATTTATTTTGTCAAACTATTTATAAACTTATGAACTATTACAAAACATATCGAAACATAAAACAAACAACTTTTTTGGAAACAACAGTAAGGATGTTCCACTTCGAAGAGTGAAACGATGGGCCTTCGATTTGAGAGAGCTTTTAAATGACCCAATTGGGCATGAGCAATTTATTAAATTCTTAGAAAAAGAATACAGCTATGAAAACCTGAAGTAAGTAATGCACATCACCATAAGGCGTACTAACAAACAACACCAATAACATCGCTTATTTTGCAGGTTTTGGGAATCCGTTCAACAGATGAAAAAACTGCCACAATCCGAAGTCCGTGAAGCGGTTAATAATATATGGAAGGAGTATTTGTCACCGGATTCACCATTTCCGGTAAATGTTGATTCAAAGTCTATTGAAATGGCACGCGAAGCCGTACATGCACCCGGAGGACCAAATCGATGGTGTATCGACGTAGCCGCCTCACATGTATACCATTTAATGAAAAGTGACTCATATTCGCGTTATCTTCGTTCTGATATGTATAAAGAATATTTAAATGGATCCAAGAAGAAGGTAAAATTCAAGGCATACTTAAAATTACTATTCCATTACTCTACAATTCCTGATTCATTTTCCATTCTTTCCATTATCATCATTCACAATGAGATTTTCAAATGACGATGATAAATAATGATGGAAACAGAGCGTATGTGAGATAAAAAAAGAGAGCGTAGCGGTGCAGTGGAGGGCGCGTAATGGAACTACGTGCCCATCACATTTACAGAACTTTTGGCAACACTGTTCGTAGTGTTTTGACATTTCATGAAATGTGACATTAATGTTCGTTCATTTGAACCGTGTTTGAGTTTTTGAAATAAAGTGATGAAATTCTAATTTATTATTGTGAGTTTGATATATATTTTATTATTATGATAAAATAACAGTGAAAAAAATGTGTGAAAACATATGTAAGTATTGAAAATTTCAAAAAAATTAGTTTAAATTTCTTGAATTGAATTGGTAAAATTTCTTATTATTTACAAGGTGCGTTGTTCTTTAAGGAGTCAGTCAAAAATATATTTCTTTTTACTACATGTGTTTGTTATGAGTATCTCTGAGCGGTGCAATGTGAGTGTGTAAATGTGTTACGGCTGGAACAAAAATGTGCTAGCGGTGGCACAAGTGTATTTACTCGACCGTAATCGACAGAACGGATAACTAACTTTCAATAATTCTGAGGAAAACTCAATAATATTTTTTAAAAATATTGAACTTAATGACGCTTAATGAAGTAATAAAAAAGAAATATATTTTTGACTGACTCCTTAAAGAACAACGCACCTTGTAAATAATAAGAAATTTTACCAATTCAATTCAAGAAATTTACACTTGTCTTTTTGAAATTTTCAACACTTACATATGTTTTCACACATTTTTTTCACTGTTATTTTATCATAATAATAAAATACATATAAAAACTCACAATAATAAATTAGAATTTCAAAAACTCAAACACGGTTCATATCAACAAACATTAATGTCACATTTCATGAAATGTCAAAACACTAATAACAGTGTTGCCAAAAGTACTGTAAATGTGATGGCGCCACCAGTACTAAAATACTACACTGCGCTAGGATGAAAGAGAGTGTGGGTGTGTCTGGCCGAATGAATGACTGAGTGAGTGAGAGATGATTGGGAAACCATTTGAATGTAAGAAACTATATAGTTTGACCACACAGTCGCAACAGCAAACAGATTGCTGACAAAAATTGAGATTTGGTAGTAGTGGATATGTTGGCATTGATGCCACTACAAGCGGTACAACCTCCACCACATCGACGACAAATGCCACCTCGGCGTAGGTCTCAAAGTGGACGAGGACGGCAACAACGGCAACAAGGGTGACGAGGACGGCAACAACAACCGTTGCCAGTGCCACGCGGTTGTTTGTTCGAGACGCACAGAAAATATGACTGGTAAATTTACATATATTTTTATTCACAACGCATATTCATTCATTCACCACTAAACTGAATTTCAATCGGTGTACGAATTGTTGAATTCGCCAAATTCATGGGCTATAGCGTCATCTGTGGTTTCGATAAGTTGGTAAATGCAATGAAGCAGTTGGTAAAACTTATTCAACAAATAGTCACTTTTGAAAAATATGCCTCAGAGATGTCAAAAATGGTAAATTTAATTCGTTGTTGGTTGATTTAATATTAAATCTACCAAACTTGAATTAAAAATACCACATTTTTTCTTTCTGTGCAACATATAAAAAATCCGTATGCATCGGCCGGTTTCAGAAGCAAATCCAGAACAAAGACAAAAAAAATACAAGAAGCAGGTAATACCCAAAACAACAGTTATATTCAGTCGCAACATAAATGCAGCGAGAAATATGACTAAGAAAGGATTGTACATGTTGAATCATTTACTCATGCCAAATTGTTTTCGACCATTCAGGCATCAACTCCATTATTACTACAAATAAAATCAAAAAATCAAAAAGCACGGACGTCTACGCGAACATTCTCATAATAGAAATTTCATTGTTTCAAACAGACAATATATTGAACTAACTGGTCATAAGTTATTGTTATAATAATGATCAATCACTTGTATTAAAACAATAACTATTATTATTTAAGCCCATTTAGTGGACGATACAGATTTACATTTTGCAGTAACACATTACAATTGTAACGAAGCATTACTGTAATGCTATTACAATTGTAATGTTAGATTTATGCATTACTAGTAATAGCTATTGCTATTCTTATAGCCTTACTGGCAATGCTTCGTTACAATAATAATGTGTTACTCAACGCTGCCGCTAATATCAAAAATCTAACATTAATATTGAGACTTTTCAACACAACTTTAGGTTGAAAATGTATTTACAATAGATGGCGGGTGTGTCTGCTCTAAGCTCATCATTGAAATTTCTCATCAACCCAATCAATTTCAATGATGAGCTTGGAGCAGACACAAACGCCATCTATTGTAAATATATTTTCAACTTAAAGTTGTGTTGAAAAGTCTCAATATTAATGTTAGATTTTTAACAATACGGGTAACACATTGTTATTGTAACAAGACATTATCGGTATTAGGTATTGAAATTGTAATGTTAGATGTTAGCATTACATTAATAGCTATTATAATTTTATTAACTATTACAAACATTTATGTTAATGTAATGGTTAGTAACATTACAATTTTAATGCCGGTAAATCTGTAGTGGACGATGCTAAAAAGTACTAGCCCAAGTCAGTATAATACTCTTTTCGAAGAGTGTACACGCTCTTCTCACACTCTTCGTATAGTTTTATTCGACTCCCTTCTCACACTCTTCTCACACTTTTGCATAAAACATGTATATTGAGTGAGAACTGCTGTCACTGCATTCCAGTGGAAGTAATGTTTGTATTTTGATATTTGAACGTTTATAGCATTCGTCAGCTGTGTCAAAATACAACAGAACGACAATTGCTGTTGCAACAGCTAATTCATTTTTTTGTATACGTTCATTTTTTTCAAAATGTCAAAAATTAACAAAATCAAAAATTATTAATCAGTGGAAAAATTTATTATAAAGAAAAAAAAGAAAATTTTTTAGAGAAAAAAATTGATGCTCAGTTAAAAACAATATACGTGTTTTATGCAAAAGTGTGAGAAGAGTGTGAGAAGGGAGTCGAATAAAACTATACGAAGAGTGTGAGAAGAGCGTGTACACTCTTCGAAAAAAGTATTATACTGACTTGGGAGAAATAGTAAGTATAAAAATTTCTTTCACAGTGATCAACGATCTCAACACTTCTACTACGACTACTACCGAATCTCAAATTAAAGCAATGTTGTTGTGGTCATTGATTTTGCGCTTAAACTATATACTTTCTTTTTTTAATTTCATTTTCCATTCTGTTCCATTACCAATTGATTAATTTCCATTTTTTCATTCTTTCCCTAGGTAAAATCCATTCCAAATTTATTTGGCGTAAAACGTTAAATGTGTTTTTTTATATGCAAACTTACATTAAAAAAATATTATATTTTAAATGTATATGTTTATATAAATGTGTCGTAATCATATTCTCGAAAGTGAAATTTGTGTTTTTCAATCAGAAAAAAAAGAAGGAAAGAAACGTTAGAAGATTAAAAAAACATTAAAAAAGTAATCAGAACAATAATGCAACAAACATGATTGATTGTAATATAAACAAACATATTAACAAAATAAAAATGAAAACCACCTTGAGGTAATACTATTGAAAATTCAAAAACAACTTTCTGAACACACAAAAAAAACATTTCATGTTAATGTTAATGTTCACTCAGTGCTAGGGGCGCGTCAAGGAACAATTTGAAATACAAATTCACCCATTACCAGGCACAAATTCACTATAGTTTCAGTTATTTTTACGGTTGCCATAGCGTAACATTCAGGTGTGAATACATGGAAAAGAGGAACGACAATCATTAGTATCAATTGAGTTGTATATAAAATATCATTTTTTTAAATTAAAAACTTTACTCACCTACGGGCTCCTTCCCTCCGTACTACCGTTGTACTGTTCTTATGAACGCACAACTAGGCCACAGATTTGTGTAATACAAATAGTGTCAAGCCTAGCTAAGCTAACTAATCGTTAGAATATTTGTTTTATCTAATAATTTATGGATTCAATGCTGCTGCTTGTCAGTTGACATTGTTTGGTGGTCTTCTCAACGAATCAGGCACTAGTACGCCAAACATTGGACAAAGTCCTTTGAAGCAAAAACATTAAAAAATGAATATACTCTATTTTCAATTGATTCATACCTTTGAGCATAATGCATTTTGCAGCAGCAATATCGCGGTGCCAAACAACTGTCTGTGGAGCAGCAACATCACCCTGAACATTTGATGGCCAATTTTTGTAGGTAACATTAACCTTTGACATTAAACGCCCATTCCGAAGTATTCTCGCCACATCCTGATAATTGTATAGCGACTGAGTCCGGTAGTCCAGCAATCGGTTTCGCTTTGCAACCGTAGCACACTTTGAATCGATGCGGTTTTGTGTTCGCTGGAAATCGTTCTTGGCAATTCGCGCATGTTTGTGATGTTCCCCATTCATCTTCCAATTTCACCACTGAATGGCCAAGTTTCTTGACGCTCACCAAAAATTTACGCGATCCTAGACATCTCTTTCGTCTCTTCAAACCAAATGGCCGAGTGGGTGCCATCTTCGGTGCACCAAAGAAAAACATTAACGGCTCTTTGTTGGTCACTGTCACGGCGATGTTATCATTTACTTGGTTCGACTTCATGTAATGATCAAAATCCAGTCGTGAATATTTACGCGATACTCAATGTACCATTGCCATGTTGAATTACGCGGTGATGGTGGACCGAATGGGTATGTCTTCAGATGATTCTTTTCTTCGATATCAAACCATCCAGCCAGAGAGTAGAAAACGCTGCCGCTATAGTAATACTATATTAACAGTGCCTATAATAGACCAAGAGCCACTCTAACAAGTAACTTTTTTTTTGCTTTATGTCAGAAAACTATATTGAACCATGTAGCTAGACATACACTAAACAAATAATTTTACGTCTGTCATTACAGCCACCCACTTCGCGAAATCTGCACTATTATTCGCGGATAGAAAACACATCAATTAATAAAGCGAGCTGCATGTTTGATTTTCTGGAATATATTTTTTCTTTGCTCTTCGATTAAAATTTCTGCATGAAATTCCGCATTGTTTACAAAATCTGCATGAATGAATTATGTAAAAAATACTATCAACTTTTTTGTCAGCTTTATGTCTGAAATTTTAAACATCGATTTTTAATCATAAAATAACACTAAATTATAAAAATCTGCACTTAAATACACATATTTATTGTTTTCTGCATAAACAAAATTACATGTTTAAGCAAAGTTTAATGCTTTTCATTCTCGGAGAACTGATACAAATAAACGAAAATAAAAAAATAGACACAAATTAAGAAAAAAATGCACAAAATATAAACATAGATCACAAACACAATAAGATGAAAACACTTCTATCACAAATCAAATGAAATAGTAATGAAGAACGCATTATAATTATCACGTTTTACCTCAACAAAGTGACTCTGTATTCTAAATCGAATGATGAAATTTATTTCCAATGTGACATCAAATATTTTCCCGATCGAAATGTTGTTGGAATATTCACAGTAAATTTTATCAACACTCTGATATTTCGAAATTAAAACAAAAATGAACACAAAACCAACTGTGATCGCCCAAACCACGCTACAGATAGATACTCACATATAATTCTCAAGAAATCCTCTTGAAAACAAAACAAAGTTTTATTGTAAACAAAATCGGTTGGTGTGATAGTTGTTTATACTTACAATACTGTCACAAGATGCGAGCACATTTTTAATACATATAAATGAATATCGTTGGATTTGGTTTGACACATATACACCGCGCGAATAGAAAATTGTCAGAAAGATGTCAGTTGCATTTCGAAAATTTAAAATACTAATTCCAAAAATAAAGAAATATAAATGCAATAAATGACGTATTAAAGAGTTCTTCTGCAGAGTTTTAAATTAAATTATGCAAATCTCTTTCCAAATAATTTGTTTATTTTTTATTTGAGCGTAACATTTAGATTTTCAATTTAAAACTTAATGTGTTGAGTTGTGTTCACATTATGTTGTCAAATGAAATATTATTGAAATGAGAGGAACAAGTGGAAGTGTAAGAAACAAGTAGATCCATTCCATTGGAATTCGTGGAAACTATGCATATAATCTCCGTTCCATTACACGAAAATGACCACCAGAATGGGCCAAAAGGTAACATTTTTCAACGTTAGAATGTGCTAAAAACATTTCATGTTAATGTTCACTCAGTGCTAGGGGCGATTCACTTCAAAAAATTACTTTTTAATTATTTCGATTATTTGTGAATTCTTTCGATTATCGTTCGATTCTTATACACAATATTTTTCATTCTAACATCAAAAGTTGACTTTATTTGAAAGTGTCGGAGAACTATACACAAATGAATCACACACAAAATCGAAAAAAACAGACAATATATTTAGCTGCTGTCATCTGGATATTTCAGCTATCTATATTGACGATATCTAGATGAGCTGTGATATACAGATGACGACAGCTAAATATATTGTCTGCGAAAAAATATCAATTCTAATCCTAAATATTCTGAAAAAATCCTGAATTGGATTGAAACTTTATTTTACAGTGTTTGTGCGACTTTCTTCGATTCTGTGCGGCTTACTAATTTTCGTATTGTTAATTTTTCACAGTATATTTCCAATTACTTCTGAAAATATAAATGAACGCTCTAGAATAAAAACAACTTATTGTTTGGTCGCATATCGAAACGCGTCTTAAAACGGTTGCATATCAAAGCGAGATAATATTTTGTTAACAAAGGAATAAAGAACATTGACTTTTTATTATACAAAATATGTAAATTTTGATAACTAGCTACTGTTCTAAGGGGTGTAATGCGCTCAATAAGCGTAATGCTTTGTTTGCCGAACTTCGTATAGACAGTGCCATCTATATATAGAATGGGATATTATTTCACAAGTTTGAGAATGAGCGCATTCAAAAATTGTTGAAACCAAAAATTGTTGAAAAATAATTTAATAAATTGTTTCATTTTTTTGTTTTGAAAATGAAGTTAGCACAATTAGCATTAGATAATTTCTATTTAAAAAAATAAATTTATATGCGTTTTAATTTAACTTAAAAAGCCTCGGGTGTAGCGTGTGTAGATCTTGTAGAAATGATATTGTTAAAATTCCATACGTAAACTTATAAGTGTGAGTGTGACATTTGACAGATAGATACAAAACGTAATG